CATCAAAGCTTATAGTCATGCTGGATTTATTTTCCAATATTGTTATTGGTACAGGGATCCTTAACTCATTTACCCCTGAAATTTCATAATGAACTATTCCAACCTTTGAATTGGAAAAGTTCAAATTTGTCTTCAGGGGTGAAAGAGTTAACTGCTTTTAACACTAATTTCTATGAACTGACCTTTATATACTAATCCATCAGGAGAACAATTTGTGTTTCAGTCAACCTGTATTATGTCTTACATGATGCATAAACAACAGTTCACATAATATTCCAGTCCGGTTGCATGCTAAATATGATAGTACATGAAAATTTTCATCAGATATGGTATATTTCTGTAAAGGAATTATTTGTTGCATGTTTTAATGTCAAATTGGTCAAAGTGGTCTAACACCATTGATATAAAAATGAGACAGATGGAACTTGATGGAGATAAAGCATTTCATCGTTAGGACGTGGTCATAGCACTTAACAAGATAATCAAAGGTTCTGGGTTTGAAACTAGACTAAAGCTCTTCTTGTGTCACAGAAAATTTTGGTAAAAACTCAGCGAGTGCGCATCATTCACAAGTTGGTCCCCCACCCCCTTCAAACATCAGACGCCATTGGTCTTAGTTATATAGCAGTAACCAATCAGCATTGGATATCACCACAAGTCAATATCGTTCTCATTGGGAGTTAATTCGCAATAAATATTCATAATGTATACTTGGACATGCCTATACATATTAAACCCTTATCTCTTATAAAAGGATCATGTTTTTTTACCTAAATGATCCTGACTTTGAATGTTTTAATGTGAATGATATAGACAGGAACATTTGATCAGCGAGCCTAGCTTCCTGTGTCGTGGGGATCATACATGGCTAACATGTTACCTATACATTTCCTAACAGTCCGTCTGTCCTCTTTAAACTTCACCCTGAAAAATCTCTATCTTTGATCTTTTTCTAACATGATTCAAATTCTTAATCACCATTATAGGACTTTCATCTCGCCTTCAGTACACTGTACTTAACCGTTTAACATTTCAAACTATCTGCCATTTAAAATACATGAAGTTTTTTCATGTCTTGTTCGTGGTGATAAAATTTTAATAAATCTGACCATTAAGCGCGGGGTGAACGGTTATCTGCTGTTCTCCTTTTGATGGCATTGAAAATTCGATATTTACAGCTACGTTAACGCACTTACATAATCCTGGTGTTTTTTTGCTTTGGTCCTATTGTGGGCATGCTAGTGCCGACTTTTACTGTTGTCAGGGGGGCTTTTAAGCTACAGACTTCCCTGCCAAACCCTAAATACTTGTTACAGGGAAATGTTTACAGATACAAATCAAACTCTGACAGCTATGAATCGAGTAAAAACAATAAAACGTAAAGCAGACCAAGATGATCCAATGTTTTAGGCACCTTGGGATTCCGTAAGATCGGTTTCCATGATAGTACAACCTTACACAATCTGTAATACGAACTTTGGATGATGAATTATTCCTCTCCAGGGAAGAATCAAACCTTTCAAAAAAATCTCTCTCTAAAATGTTTACAAACACCATATCCCAGATTTCTAAATCATTACCTCATAAACTTATGTCAGAGTAGTTCTTCTATTAAATTTCACAGGGAAAAAAACAAATCAAGAGATATTTATTTGCCTATAAAAGCTCCTTCAGCAAATGGAAAAGTGAGAAATATCAACTATTTAAATTGGCTTTAAATCTGGGTTAAAATACTTAACATTGATTATAGCGACAACCAATAAGGAGAGTTAATGGATCGAGCTTAATGGGCCGCTAAACATTTTACTGCAGTCCTCCTATACATGTCCTTCAGATAGGAAATCGTTCTGTGCACTCACTGCACTGAGAGAATTGAGGTGGCAGAAGGCCCGACTGGTCACAATTATATACTGTGAAACCATTTTGGTATTGTTTCTGCCAAAAAAATATGAGATTATTTTGCAATTTTCAATTTCCTCTATAACATGTACTGCCAATTTCTAAAATCCTATTGCAGAAGTTTCCTTGTTGGTATTAAGATGAACTCTAGTTAATGAAATTTTAATTTCATAGAAACAATCCGGGTAGAACCTGCATAGTCCCAGCATCACTGCCACATTGAATCCGACTCAAGCTGCTAAGTTTGAGCTAAAGCCTCTGTTTTAAGTTAGAATCCCGGTGCTCTTTCTGTATCTCCGATGAAAAAAAGAGTTCCAATACATGTCCAGCATTTTGCTGACATGAAATTGCTTACCAATTTATGATATAAAAGAATATATGAAAGAAATTTATCTACGTTATGTGTATACTTTGACCATCCTGATAATACAGCAAGGTGTTTGTCCAATGGCCTTCCTGTCAAGATATTTGTCATATAATAATATAGCGCCCTATCTAGCTAACATAAGCCACTCTAAAGCGCTTTACAGTACATAGATATACAATTAATACAATTAGGATATACAAATTTTGAGGAATTCGTAGGAGCTGCCTTATCAGGCGCTAACTACTAGTCCTATGCCACCTGGCTAATATCTCCCTATGTGTGTATGCCTGCATGTGTGCTGGAGATGTATTGTGTTTTGTTTGTAGTGGGACTATGCTTTATGAATAAAGAAGAAATACCATAAATTTCAGAAAATAATTGATGAAGGTCTATATACAATAGAAAGATGTGGGACTCTCTAACTTAATTATGTAGATGATAAAACTGATGTCTTATTTGAAATGGACTCCCAAGTGCTGGTGATAGGAGCTTGGGCAATTTGGAAATTTTCAAAAATCTGGACAATCTGAGACAGCACTAGATGAAAGATTATCAAAGTTGTACATATTTGCTATAATTTGGTCCCTGGCCAGTGGCGATATACTGTGCTTAGGATTTCCCTTAATTTTTCCATCTACTTCATTCCGTCAACCATAATTACAAAATATATCAAATGTGATTGCAGTTCGCATTGTGTGTGCGGAGAAACACCACTCTGCTTGACTTTTCTACCATTCACATTTAATTTACCTTAATGTAGATCATAATGTTTTGCGAAAGCCTCTGTCTAGTGTGTGGTAAAGTATGATGTGATTTTCCATTGATTAGCAATGTCATTGTAAAATTGTCTATCAATCTCTATTAAATAAATCTCAATATCACACTTCCAATCTATGCTATTTTCGGAGAGTATACTCCATCTTCCTGTCTCGAGAAAACTGTCTAGCTGACCTGGATTTTTTTGTATTTTCTGTCATTTCATTAAACCTTCAAACTAGAATTTACCGAAGCTTCAAGGCTGTAAAGAAACCCAATGCAATTCGGTCTCATTCTGGTGGCATATAACGGTACCTATGCTACCAGACTCTGTCGATCACCGTCCAGCCCTGATGTACAGCCATATACAGAGAGATATATATAGCTTGTACTTATGTATAACTTCCCGACAATCCATTTTTGTGCATTTTCCAGACAATCTCATCCATTTTCTTTACAAAAACTTGACATTAAAAGGATAATAGAAAGCCCTTATTCACGGTAGGTCGTCTGCTCAGTTTGGGTGAAAAATGAAAATGGTCTTGTAATTAGAAACTTGGTTTTAATCTATTGGGTTATTTGAATAGTGCTTTTTGTCCATCAGAATGAAAATCAATGGCTAAATGGTATTGTATAATATTTTAAGCTATCAAGATTAAATTTCAAAGTATCTATCATGATGACAATGATTTCTAATCTCCAGATAAATGTTTCTGATTGCAATTCAGCTCACATTACTCACATTAGTAGGTCAAAGGTCACTAAACAGATTTATTATCAACGGTGGCAGAAATCATCAACGATCTGATGATGGACGTGGTGTAAGCGTTGAATTCATAGTTTGCCGTGGTGTGTAGGGTTGATAGTTTGAAATATCATCCTCTCTAGAAGTTAATATTATTTGCCCACATCATGTAATCAATTATGGAGTCATCAGCAGAAAAAAATACTTTGCAACCTTAAGGTATGACTGTAATATTTCACTAATGTTCTAACTGTTGTGTAGGTCTTTTTACGAAATAACGAATTGGACAAAGCTATCCTTTATATCACCTAATAGCTTTGCTTCATCAAATAAAAAGATATTCACTGAAGATTCACTAGCATTTAAATTTTCACGATATTGTCTTATGAATTATTATTATGACTTTGAAGATCAAATTGCTCAACTTTTGCGTAAAAAAAGCAGCAGAAAGTTTGAAAAGTTTTACTTTTCTCGACAAAGTTCTCTCAACTTTTAGCTGAAAGCATGACTTGCGTCAAAATACGCAAATTTATTTTACGGTTAAATTTTAATTCCTGTATTTTGTAATTTATAATTAAATAAAAAAAATGTATGAAGTCATCAAATTTCATGCATAATTTTAATGAAATACTGAAATTAATATTTATATATGTAATACCCAATTTCGTTTGTCGTTTTCACCACATTTTCTGTTCTGATGCTATCTTTTTAACATACCAAGACGACGGCTATTAATCTGTATGCACTTAGCCACAATTAAAATAAATCTTAAAGATCAGGCAACCAAGAAATATGAAGCCTGTTAACATTGAATTAAGAGGAATCAAATCTGAGGTAACAGCTGTAGGGTTATTCCATTTTAAGTGTATAAACACAATAACACTATACCATGGAGTGTCATAATACAACAAAACACCAATACTAATTAAATTCTGCTTCAACGGAACAATTATCAGGTCTCTGCTCCTGTTTTTTAAACTGTTGAATGGCATATATTAACTTACATCACAGCTTTTGATAAGGCTGCTGTGACAGACAGGGAGAAGGTTTTGAGAATAAAAATGTTCTTATAATCCCAGGCATTCCTCTGTGTTTGTAAACTGTACCTGATGAAAAGCTTAAGTGCTCTGAGATAACATAGATTTGGCTATCTCTCTTCCCAGCTCCTTCCCCCTACATCATACTCCACAAACACACATTCACAACACACAAACAACGTCAAATTCTACTCACCATCATTGTCAAACACCTCCCTGTAAAGACATAGAAAAGATACAAATTAATTATTATACAATTTATTCATATTTTAAATTTGTTTCATAATATAATCAATTAAACATAAATATGAGTGTTTGCATTTATTATAACATTTTTAACATGCTGTTCAGTTCTATTTAAAATGTAATCATGATATTTACAAACGTGACAATCGTCTCTTTAATGAAGAAATTGTAGAACTTGATTTTCTCCCTCGCAGTGACCATTTACCGTTAACCCTTAAAATCATAGTCTTACATGTTAAATCCTCGCAATGATGCAACTTAAAAATCTTGCAAATTTTTTTATGAGTGTTAGAGGTTTGTGGATAGTCAGAGGTTTCGGTTCGAATCCTTGTCTCCATCTGGCCTGAATAGATTGGGGGTGGCAGCTAGGGTCTACCATATTACAATGTATATTGTGTGGGAGGGGGTATCTATGTATCACTTATATTGGGAAAGGTTTGGGGGAGATGGGTATTTGAAGCAGCTGCAACAGAGCATTGTACATTGCTGTCATCCTGTCACATCAGATTTGACGAGATGCAGTCCTTGTTGATCATACATCACATATCCCCCCTCTCTGTCTTCCCAGAGGGCTCAGAACCGCGACTCTAATGAGGCGGAAGGTATGCACAATTTGTATGTTTGTGTAGCTTGTAGCGTATAATTAGTGTAAATTAGACCTACATAGGTTAGCCTGTGTACACTGTACACATGGTCAATCCAAGGCGCTACTATATATAAACAGGAAATACTAACAATATACCACTACCTCTCCTACCAGTGGCCTAGAGGCCTTTGCCTCCAGAGACAGAATAGAAAATGATACACTATTATACTAGACCACCACTGAACCCTGACAGCATAGTCAGGCGCTGGAGCTTTGCAAGCTTAGTTTAAACAGCTGCCCAGGAAACCATTTTCAAGTTTTGACAAATGGAAAAATGAGTTACCCTTGGCATTGCATTAAGTGAAAATAATCTGTTCATGTCAAGTTACTGGGGAGCTTAGTAGCCATCCTCATTTAGCTGTTATGCCTGGCAGGAATACATGACCAGTCCAGGCTTGCTGCTGTGTTACTCGGCCCTGACCAGCCTCATTAGCCATTAGTAAACACTGGACCTAGTATGGCCCTTCACCCTTACAACATTGTCTCCTTAAAGCACCATTATTCATGGTTATGTATTACTAACACATACAGGCAACTTGCTGACGTTTCACACCTACGATGAGTACATATATCCAGAACCCCCTGACATTATACACAATATGTATTGTAGATCAATCTGTTGCTAATCCCTGATGACCACACTTCAGCCTCTGCCTATTACAACACCTAAATGTACACAAGCTCCTTTAACTCTGTCTGGGCCACAAATCCCCTCTCATAACCCCAGCACACTCGACAGGCCACTTACTGGTCCCTTAGACCAATATAATAAGTGTACACGGTCCTTGAAACATATCACAGCCCCTTGTCTATCTGCCAGAGCAAATAACCTGACACAAACTTGCCCCTTACATATTACAGCCCCTAACTCCACCACAGTAGCCCCTTACACTTGTCCTTCAGACCAATAACAGACTAAAGCTTATCCCTCACAACACTTGCCAAGCTCCTGAACACTCAGGTCCTTTACATCTACAAGGATCAATTTAATCACTCCACTGACCCTTAGTGGTCAATTTAAGTGCCCTGCTATAAATGTATTTTTTATCTTACATCTGCCCGTGGTTACAGACATAGCTGTCATTAGTGTTATTTTGTGTGTTTTTCAGGAATGACAATTTTGCACTTGAGTAAATGTTTCCCAATCTATTATAGTGTAATTACTAACAAGTACAGGCCTACAGGTAAATGATATGCCTTTTTTACATACATCAGTTAATTCTGGAGCCTCTAACTCATCTCTGGTTTACAACTTATTATCTAGCAACCCAACAGGCTCTGACTCTCAATCTGATGGGGATATAGATGGATGCCCAGCTTGGTAGACACATGGACAAATAGATGAATGGATGGACAGTTAAATGAGCATGGACAGACAGACAGACACCAACACATAGACAACCAGATAGACACACACAGATATTTGAAATTGGACATACAAACAGATAGGATAGAAATTGGAAAGACAAATGGATAGAAAGACAAGACAGATAGTCACATGAAAAACCTGAAAGACAGATAGACAGACATGGAATTGTACAATCACCATATGTCTCACTTAATCTTTGGGCAAAGATTAAAATATTCAGAGGGATGGACAAATAGACAGACAAAATTAATGGGCAGATTGACAGCTCTTTCAGAATAATATCAACTTGACCTAATTTCCCTGGTCTTTCAGCTGTCAGATAGTTTACAAGATCAATGAAATCATTCTACAGTATTTGGATGACACACAAGTCCATAGCATGGTCTTTATCCTTGAAATGAACACCCACAAATCACTTCTTGTCACTTTGTGTATCAAATGATAGATAAGATTGTTCCTATTCAATCACTTCATTTATGTAGGAGACAATCAAGGCTGAAGCTGGACACTCCCTACAGCCTTACCCTTGGAGGGATGATATACAATATAACTACTTTATACTGCCATCACATATGTACAGGATTATGGTAGCATTGTAAAGAGGTTTTGCAGTACATCAATTGAGACTTAAAAACTAATTAAAAAAACAAAAACAGTGGTGCAAGGTGGGATAGCAATTAAAGATATATGTCATCTTTTATGTGGTAATTCCAGAGTTATATCTCTCTCTCTCTCTCTCTCTCTCTCTCTTAAAAACATCATTAAAAGCAATATCTTATATTTCAGAACTATATGAGTCTCTTTAATATACCATAATCTTGTGAACCAGTTGTACATGCATTATCAATTAAGCAAGACTATTTAACAGATATACTTTGGAGGTTTCCTGGTGTCAAACTCTTTGGAAAAGGAGACACAGACGGTAGCATATACAGCCTTAAATGACAGCGTATAAATCTTCAATGAAAAGGAGACACAGAAGGTAGCATACAGCCTTAAATGACAGTGTATAAATCTTCAATGTCTCAGCCCGAAATACTTTTCAAGTATGCATATTGTAATCCAACAGGTGAAACAGAGGTCAAGTTTGGCTGAATTTAACTTAAAAACTTCAGGAATTGGCCAATTACCTAAATCTGAGATAATGAATGGAGCCAGGCTGAGCGTTACAGCCACAAATCTATGCCCTATGGGTCTGGACTGCAGCTGAAACAACTTCAATATAGGCCAGGTATTCAAGCAGAGCAGGTGTTTTCTCTGGCCAAAAGGTCTTAATTCTAAAACTGGAAAGGAAGAGGTCAGGGTGATTAGATAGAGTAATCAGTGGACGGTTAGAAGCCATACCGATCCTCAGTGGGCTTTTCATTCCCAGCCCAAAGACTCCATCTGACTCACAGTTTTGCCAGCTATTTCTGCTACTAAGAAAAACCAACAATGTTTTCTTTTGATAGGCTGGCATCTGTATGTGTGGTCAGTTTTTCTGCCCATGTGTCCTAATGACTAATATATATATATAAACATCATCTTCTTGAAACCCCTGACATCATGTGTCAGGTTCGGTAGTTTGCAGACCAGAGTGACATGGCTTTGGCGTGTCAGACAATTTATCACAGAGGTCGACATATAATGACTATTGACAAGATGTAGCAAATATTTACAAACACATCATCAGCATGATGTTAATAGCAGGGTATTGGCTTTATCATTGTTTTTAATCTTAGGTGAATATTGATATCTATTAACTTTTTGAATAAATCTTCTCTCTGTATCAATCAGTTATACAATTATTCTGGTTGACAAATATTTATATACATGTATACCTCTGTAAAAGCAGTAATGGTTAAATGCTTCATATTTCACATTGTAAAGGAAATTATTTTACCATATTTATTCTGAAATTAGCATGAGGGGCCAACATATAAAAGTCTCCCAAGTAGTAGGGTGAGTTTATTACCGCACAATGAATTCATATTTGTTAGCATTTCTGCTGAACTACAATAGATATAGGTGGGCTTATTACCAGGCATGGGCTTATTGATGGATAAATATGGTTCATCTTTTTAATGGTTCAGATTTTTGCACAATAATGATATGAGTAATAGAAAGGGAGTGTATCAGGGCTTGTCCACCAAGCACAGAATATGTTGTATATAAATGGACTTTATTTGACTTGCACTCAAAACTAGAATGATAAGACAAACAGATAGTGGAGACTATAAGTTTCTGAATAAAAAATAGTAATAGAGCAGGTTTTGACAAAAAGTCTTGATTGTGAGTACCTGTTATACTTGATGACCTACAGAGTTTAGGAAAAACAGCTCTGAGATTTTAATAGGTGACAACAGCACCAATTATTTGGTCAACAAAACTAAACAGTTTATGACCAAACAGTACTGCGACCCAAAAACCTTCCCTAGGACCGCCATGCCTGACTGTTCCACCAACAGAGTTGGAACTTTTACCCGCCCAGTCCCATCCCTTTATACATGATATTCAAGGAACATTGTCAACATTCAGAGCCATGTGGCCCATGAAGCCTGGAAGATTATCCCTCTTAGCCTGCGGTATCTGAGGTGTTCAGGAAGAATGTTAGTCCTTCACCAGATTACTTGTACACATATCTGTTACCTGTTTTTACAGCTGAGTATGCTGTAACAATCAGTGTAAAGTGTCTTGTTCAAGGAAACACATTATTAATATATATAGTATATAATTTATAAAATATAAATAAAAAATAAAGTATATAAAATATATAGTACAATATATAACAGTTGATCACTTCACAAAGAGGTATACTATTTACTGTACTCTGAGGGCTGTACCATTATTATTCTTTAAAACCAATAAGAAACCAGGGTTATACAATTTCCTATTTAGAGTATTAGCCTTCTAGCAAATTTAAAATCAAAAAGCTACTTGCCCAATATATAGAAATATATTTCAAAAGGCTATTTT